CCTTTGCGTTACAACATGTGGCACCTACCTAAAGCACATATGAATATGACAATAACAATCGTGATATTAACCATAGCAGCTTTAATGCATTTTTAAACCATCATCGGAAAGAATGAATAGAAATTCTGGACATATACAAATTTGACACGGTAATCCTATACTATCATTCCACCCAACCAAAGCCAAGAAAGATTAACAGAATTTAAAAAAAAAAGGATAATCAAAATTAAGTAACATCTCTGCATGTCCTATAGTGTAAGACAGATCACACCAGTTATGATATATTATGACACATTTCTATAGAAAATGTCTCCTCGGAGAATAGACACTACTAGGCAAAACCTCTCTTTGTAAGAACGGGCCTGGAAAACATCTAACGTTAACAGCTGAATGCAATAGTAAAGACAGTAAAAAAAGTGTAGTATAAAACACATTATCGGAAAAACGGTGCGGTCAAACTGTACCAGCCACCAAATACTTCTTCCTTATAAGTTTATAGCAACACCTTGCAGATAGACTTCAACTTGATGCTAACTGAACTAGAAAGGTAACATTTCCCAAAGCAAATGCATAATGTTTACCTTCACATATGGTCTGCTCTGTTAATTCTTACTCAAACACATTCATATATGTTCAGACAGGAGTCTAAATCCCTCCTGCTATAAAATTGCAACATGATGTAACCCAACACTAATTACCATGATGACAGACGTCTGGTACAGATCATTGACCTTATTTGCTTTGAGGAGAAGAAGAAGAAACAGAGCAAAAACAATAGGTTTTCCTTCGGTAAACATAATTATGAGCACTTGTTATCTCACGGGAAATCCATATCGTCATACGGAACACGCCCTGTGCCTCTGCCGTGGCCTCTGCCATTCTGCCGCCCCCTTTGGCCACCTCGCCCCCCGCGGCCACGATGACGTCGACCCCAGGAATGGAACTCAGGGTCCTCCGTTGGTTCTGCGGATTCCAAACTCTCGTCTTCATCCGAACTGTCGAATTCGTCGGAACTGTGACCGTGCTGCACTTCATCCGAACTCTCGTCTTCTTCCGAACTCTCGTCGTCTTCCGAACTCTCGTCTTCTTCCGAACTCTCGTCTTCTTCTAAACTCTCGTCGTCTTCCGAACTCTCGTACTCCTCCAAACTGTCGTCGTCTTCCGAACTGTCGTACTCCTCCGAACTCTCGTCGTCTTCCGAACTCTCGTACTCCTCCGAACTCTCGTCGTCTTCCGAACTCTCGTACTCCTCCGAACTCTCGTCGTCTTCCGAACTCTCGTTCTCCTCAGAACTCTCGTATTCATCATTTTCGAATTCTCCTTCTTCTTCTTCTTCCAGACCGTCTTCAGCAGCTTCCTCACCGTCTTGAGGTTCCCCTTCCTCCCTGACGTCTCCGAGGCGGAGTGTGAGAGGACCAGCAGGACCGACTGCTGGGATTGGTTCCAGGATCTGGTAGTCATGACGACGACTCAGCGCCAGCGGTGCCCGGATGTTGTCGGACCTCAGTAGAAACCTGCGGTCCGGAGGCAGTCTGCTGACCGGTGCGATGGGCTGTCGAACCAGGGTGACGTCGGGTCGGATGCCCTCGACAGGACGGATGAGGTCGACGTCGACGTCTAGATCAGCTGGCTTACCTGGAATCGGCAAAACAAAAAGACACGTTGAAACCCCTGCCATTCTGCCTGTCAATCTTCCTACACATATACATACTGTCAACCTACTCTGTCCAGGCAAACATACACACAAACTATTACAGATAACCCACCCAAAACAAATTTTAAAGGATCCGACAGCCGGACGGACACTTGGGCAACAACATTAGAAAGCCGTCAGAAACTATAGAATGTATAGATGATGGCAACAATGCTAGAGGGTGCTAATCTCCAAGCAGATTCTCGGGGGCAAGGGGCGTCTATATTGGCCGCCTGTAACCATTGGCTACTCTCCAAGCAAAGGTTGGTGGGGAAGATTGTGACCTTTCTACATGTGTGTCCAGTTTTAGGTCACAATCTTCCCTACCAACCTCTGCTTTAAGAGTCGGAAAAAAAAACACAAGGCTCAAAGGTCCACTTTTTGGTCCACTTTTTATGTAACGTTAAAGGTCCAAGATTTTTTTTTTTTTAAGATGCATGGACTGATTCGTGTCACCAGCGAGGCTGGAATCGTAGGAAAACTGCTCACTTTGTCATTGAAAAAAAGTTATCTTTGATTTTTTTCTTTGAAATCCTCTCAAAACTGCAGGAAATGCCATTTCAGAGGGTTCATTTTTTTCAAAATTTCCCGGGGGAGCATGCCCCCGGATCCCCCTAGGAACCTCGCGCCTTCGGCGCTCGCTGGTCCCTCAAGCTTTGAAGACCCCCCCATGAAAAATCCCGGCTACGGACATGCATGAAGACGTACCGAATTTGGCGTGAAGAAACACGACGGCGTCGTCGATGACTCGGGACATGGCCGTGAAGCTGTCGGAGTAGAACAGGTGCTCGGGAACCGGCTCGGACACGATGTCGTGTAACTCCGGCTCGTTCACCGACGAACCGACGGCGAAAGCGAAAATCTCACACCCGGGACCTGACGAGAAGAAAAGTAAAGCCGACATATGTAAATATACAGTACAGGGTTTTAAAAATGTATGAAGCACTGAAAACTTGAAGGGAAAGATGAAGTCAAGAAACGTGACATTAATATTCGTTATTGTGGCCTCATAAATAAATATAATTATAAATTTAACGTCTCTCAGTGGCCAATGGGCAGATGTTGTCACATCGGCGCACCAAATCCGTAAGGTGTTTTTGGCACCCAGACAGACAGATAAGAGGCTCGGTGGGCGTCACTCCACCGTACAGGTGGGGAAGTCGTGTAAAGTGCCTTTCCCAAGGGCACAACGTCGGGCCACGGTGAGTATCGAACCCTGGACCTCTAGGTTCCGAGTCCAACGCTCTAACCGTTAACGTTGCGCCACCGACGCCAAGAGGTCTCGCGTGTCCAAATGTACTAGCCTGGTTCCCGCCCGTCCGACAAGGGCCAATAGCGTCGGATAGGGCCAAACCGTTTAACGGGGTTAGTGTCAATTATTTCGTCTACGGGACGACAGTAATTAGAAAGGTTGACTGGAAAGATAGGCTGCCAAAAAGAAAGGCCTATGCTCAGGAGAACTGAGGCTGATAAAACATACTAGTAGCCCCCACCAGGCTTCGGGAGGCGGCTGGAAAGAGTAGAAATTGGCCAAATACAAATGTATGGAGATAACACCCGGGTGCGGCAAAATGTACTCTCTAGGGTACCAACTCCCTAGTAGCATGTCTCTCTACTTGACCAAGTTCTTCCCAGCCGCCTCCCGAAGCCTGATAGAGGCTAGGTAAAACACTCCTAGGCGCGGGCCCGTAAAGAATTAGCCTGGTATCCAGTCTTACTTCATTGGGGGTATTGGGGTGTTCAGGCAGGTTGTGCCTTCGGGGGCTCTAGTAGCTTCCCCCGCCCAGTGCAACAGGTCGTCCCGGTAGGACCCCGCTAATAAGCTATATATATAAGAGACAGTATGCTTGGGGATTTGGTTTCCCCCCAACACGCTCTCGTGAAATATACACCGGGAAGCCTATGTGAGGCGGGCGGGACAGAGCTCTTGCGGCCCCGACCACGAATCAGCCTGGATACCAGGCTAGTAAAGACTTCAGCTGCACCAGGCTATGCAGTACTGACCGTTGACAGCGTCCTTCAGCGCGTCGGCGGCAGGAGTGGGACTCCCGCCCGTGTTGGACTTCCCGTCCGTGATGAGGAACAGGATCTTGGCGGCGGCAGGACGGGACCCCGCCGTGGACACGAACACGTCATCCTTCGCCATGTTCAGCGCGACGGCTGTAGCCGTGGAACCACCTGGGGAAGATTGTAAGATTCTTTTTAGCTGCTAGCTTATGCTTATGCTTATGCATTTCCAAACCGGGGCACGGTCAGGCTGTTTCTATTAACGAAAATTCAGCGTATATCAACAACAACAATAGTTCCCATTATTACTCCGTGAAGGAGGTCAGGACCTCCGGACGGAGTGTTGTAATCGGCTGATTTTTCATGTTCGCAGTCAAAACACTGGGTTCTCTTTGTGTAATCGGCACGCAATTTGATACGCCGTCTGCGGGCATGCCCGTGTTGATGCACGAATGTGTATTTTTGCCGTTGCTGCTTTCGCGGTCAATGTAATATCGCAGACGCACCCCTACAATTACGAGGCGAATTGGAACGGTCCAGAAAAACGCGTTGTTTGGAATAGCGGGGGGGGAGGTAAAAGTTCATGCAGATACGGGGTGGTTTTTATAAGTGGTTCCAGATGTTTTTGCCCATGGTTAAGAGATGCCAAGTTTTTTGGAAGATGTTCGCAGCCAAAACGCATTCTGCCGTACGTCGCATATCTGTGTAATTTCGCATGTGGTGTTGCATTATGTCCGGGATGATGCACGTCTTTTTATTTTTACCGTAGCTGTTTTGATATTGGAGTAAATGCATATTTTAGAAACATCCCTACTTTTACAATCCTGTGGAATAGGCCGTAGGTTTAGGCAGTTGTCTGGTAGCAGAGGTACTGTAAGCAGATATCCTGGTTATCTGGCCGACGGTAGTACTAGTAACACTCGCGGTGATTACGGCAACTCCAGGCGCGCTTAATTAGGTACAGGCACGGTAAGACGGTGGGGCTGACCATGATAGTCCGATCTTTACCTTCGCCAAGAAGGTTATGTTTTCAGAGGCGTTCGTGTATGTGTGTGTGTGTGTGTGTGTGTGTCTGTAAACACGATAACTTGAGAAGGCCTTGATGGATTGTCTTGATACTTGGTAGGTGGGTAGGTCTTAATGAGACCTCAAAATGATTAGATTTTGGGCCCCCTAGCAGCTTGTTACGGTACTGCAGCTGAACTTCCGGTTTTGATATCTCATGATCCAGACATGCCAGGGTGACGAAATTCAGATGGCACGTAGCTCTTGTGCTGGGAAAGAAGTGACGTGAGTTTGGGCCCCCTAGCGGCTTGCTCTGGAACTGCAGGACTATCTATTTGAATATATTCAAAAGAGAATAACTCAAGAATCGGTTGACGGATCGTCGTGATTTTTGGTATGCAGGTAGCTTACGTGATGCTTAATATAATTATGTGACAATTATGCAAATATGGATGTAATTTGCATAATTTATGGAGAAATTCTATAAATCAGCTGCATTCCATCATAGGACTATTGAAGCTTGTCGCATTGGTAATTGAGAACGAGATAGACACAGGCAGATATTGATTATTTAAATGAAGACTTAAGTTATAATTCTGTAATGATAACTGCCTGGAATTTCATATTTATGGTCTTTGAAAGTACAGTGAAGGTGAACATCATTAAACATAATGTATTCAAATCAGGACCTCATTTGCATAATTTATGAGGAAATGCTAGAATGGCATTGTTTGTTAATATAAGACTGTCTTTTGGTTGAGAATATGATAAACTGATAAAATTCATAAGAAAGAGGATCCTATTTGCACAAGCAGGGGGAATAATCTATCATTTGTCAGCCATAAAGATTAACATCATTTGGCGAAGGTATGAGATCGGGGAGCTCTAGTTATGTGAATGCAATGATTGTGTGTGTGTAATTAAAATGAACTTCGAACTTGAAGCACAGTATCTTTACACGCCCTGGGAGCAGTAATGGATTTAGCTCTTTGTATGTTTTATGCTTGTGACGCGCCGTCATTGTATTAACCGTTGCCTAATTTAATATAATGTCTGCACAGTAGGTCTGGCGTTGACGCTTGGGATTTTGTTTAAATATGTAAAACTTCACGGAGGATTGTCACCTATGGCTTCTTGTTATTATTAATTTTTTCAACTTTTTTGTGCTTTGCTGTCTTTCATATCATACTTTTCGTTTCATAAGACTGCCCGGCCGGGAACGAAAAAGACAACAAAACACAGAAAAGTTTTTAGTAATAATCATAGCCACAATTTCCGTATATTCTTGGTGTGAATTGTTAATTTTTCGTTCATAAACACAGCCCGGCCGGGCTCCGGTTTGCAAATGTGACCTACGTAGTGTATTAAAGTCACGACTAGACATAGAAGAATAACTAGAAAAGTAACATTTGCGAAGCAATTGCAAATGCATAATGTTGTCCTTCTCATATGGTCTGTTCTGTTAATTTTTACTCAAACACATTCATACATATGGTACCAAGAGTCCAAATCCCTTCTATAAAATTGCAACATTATGTAACCCAACACTAGTTACTATGGTGACAGATGTCTGGTACGTCTGGTTCATGTCTTATTTCTTTGGAGAAGAAGAAGAGGAAGAAGAAACAGAGCAAAAACAATACGTTTTCCTTCTGCTAAGTTAAAGGTAAACAAAAATACAATTCTAATACTAACTTTCGTAGGCGATGTTCCCTATGGCGGACAGCACGGCAGCCCGGCTGGTGTGCGCGGTGAAGTCGAACTCCACACGAGTCTTCCCCACATCGGAGAACGACATGCCTGCCACGCGGGTGTTCGCCGGGTCGATCGGCGCCGGGAAGATCTGGAGCAGGCTCTGTAATATAACATCACGGCAGATATCAACATCCGTGGGGTCCTGTGGCGTAACGGTAGAGTGTTCGGCTTGGAACCAAGAGGTCCCGAGTTCAAGCCCTACCATCTTGTGCCCTTGGGAAAGGCGCGGCGGGGAAAGGCACTTTACACGAATTTCCCCACTTAACTCAAGTGAAAATGAATGTTGTTCGTGCGCTTGTCTGCGTTGATGGCGGCATAAAAATAAGTTGGAAAAACTTGAATGTGTCATGTATTGTGATAAATGTTGGAATAGAAAAAAGATATCAACACAAGAAACCGGAGGTTTAACATGTACACTTCCGGGAGGTATTTTGTGTTTTCGTGAACTTCAAGTTTACCCGCATTTCCTGTGCCTGGCCTTCTGAACTCCGGACATAATGTCTATCAACCCCCCCCCCGCCCGACCCAAGTGCTGTCAACCTACTCAGTCCAAACACACGAACCCACAGCTCAACTGCTTTAAACAATACTCCCGCACTCGGAAGTAATGTCTGTAATATTGCTACCTTGCATAACCAGTGGAAGTCCGAGTACCAGTGGAAGTCCGAGTACGGTATTTGACTGTATGCAAATTTACACAGCATTCTTGGCAGGTCGGCATTAGGTATCATTAAGCCCATGATACAAAGTCTATGCTACCTGAATGTCTTCCTTTGCGCGGTTGAAGTTGTCCGGTCTCACGCTGCCACTCTTGTCGAAGACGAAGACCATGTCAATGACGGAGGGCTCCTCGTCGTCGGCTGCCTGGAACCCCCTTCGGCCGACCTTGCTCAGAAAACCTCTCGCAAAGGCGTCAAGGGTCTGCTCCCGTGTAGGTTTGCCACCTAGCGACATGAACATCAATAGCAACGGTTACAAAAATTGGTTTGTGTACTCCGCACTCAGTCGCCATGGATCAAAAGCACCCCACAACGGCGATAAAACTTGACTGCAGTAATAGGAGCAACTGAGCCAACGTATTGCTGCAGTTCTGCAACGTACTGCTAGGGTTCGCTTTTGATCCATGCATTGCACATCACCTTCGTCACGTGTTCACAACCTACAGTACATTGAACTTGAACTTTACATCGGGTAAGACAAGGCTTACAATTACTGACATAGAAAGAGATTATTCCCTGGATTGTTAAATAAAAAAGCTGACAAGGAAATGTTACAATAGCAGGGGTCTCCTCATAACTTTTTAGGAGAGAAGTGTTTCCTAATAATCGGTTGATGTCGCGAAAAAAATCAGCAAATTTTCATGGAAATACTACGAGAAAATCCTAAATTTTAACATTTTGGAGAGGTGCTAGGATTCTGGGGAGAGGGGAGCACCTTTGCTTCATTGCTTGTGGAAGAGCCCTGCAATAGAGAAGAAGAACTTTATTGCACAACAGATGTAACGGGTACAACGTATCCCAAAATATGACTCACATTGTTGTTTCTCCTCCCGGAGAGGCGGGCAGCACCGGTCGTGTTCCAGCGGGTTGTGCGCCACCTGGCGGGTTCGGTACACAGTGCTGCAGCCGAATATGGACGTCTTGGGACTCCAGCTACTCCACTCGGACACCTGCAGGTGCACAGGGTGCCACAGTAAAACAAACTGCAAAGACTGGCAATTGTGTTTTGTTCTAACCTGCGATATCAAGGGCATTGACCTTTTTTGTTTCAAATAAAGGATGAATTCATTTCGCTGTGAACGGAATGAATGAAAAGAAAAGAATCGATTGATAAACCAGCTACCAGGGGAAACAAAACTTAATGATTTTGAGGTCTCACTATGACCTAACCATCTACCAAATATTAAACCAAATCCATCTAAGCCTTGTCCGGTTATCGTACATGTTGTCAGTGAGCACACCAATTCTTCCGAGACAGCGGTCGGTCCGCGTGGTAAAATTTAATAAAATTTTAGAAGTTAAAGAAATTAAAATTCTACTGTTCTTGTAGCTAGAGGGATATCCTTCATTTGCAAAAACAGTGTTTTGGCTATTTATTTCCTGAAAGAAACGGCCGCTATAGTTGAGGGTGTACATAGACCCGCCAAAATACTAGTAATTAATTAAACTGGGGTGTGCCCACACGGTGACACACAGACACATGAATGGTACCGAAAACATAACCTTTTTGGCGAGGTTCTGACGTAGTCTCCAAGCAGAGGTTGTGGGGGAATGATCGTTACCTTTTTATATTATATGGCCGTTTTTTTTGTCGCTACCCCCGTCGGTGGCCGCGGAGCTTCTCTGGCTAATGGATACTGCCTGGCCAATTTGATAATGTCTTTTTTGCCACCGAAAGGGATCTGCTTGGAGATTAGTTCTGACGTGTTTGCCTACTCACCCTGCACAAACCTCTGAGGAAGTCGGTACAGAAGCCGTGATCGACAGGCGGCCGGAGGATGGGTCCGTCCGGGGGAGGGGGGAATCTCCTGACGTCCGTCTCCAGGCCGTGGTACAGGTTCCGGGACCCGTCCGTCCGGGCACCCTGGGGCGGTGCGGGGCCGTGATCCACAGGCGGCCGGAGGATGGGTCCGTCCGGTGGAGGGGGTACCCTCCTCACGTCCGACTCCAGGCCGTGGTACAGGTTCAGGAACCCGTCCGTCCGGGCACCCTGCGGCGGTGCGGGGCCCTGGGGCGGGGGCCTGGCGACCGAGGCTACCACCACCAGGGCGAGTGTCACCAACACGACGGAAAGGCTAGGCATGTTGCTTCCTTTGTGAGAAAAATAAAGTCAGATTGAATACATCGTGCATTTGCAAGTAAGCCAGGTAATGCAAAATTAAAATGCACAATAAACACAAAGATTCTTTTTGAAATTGTTTTTGAAAGTAGATATTTTTGAACTAGTGAAAAGAAAAACGTCCAGACATCGAGTGGGCTAAACTCTTTAATAGGACACGTTATGCATATTCATATTTTCTGTTGTTAAAAAACGATTTCGCCCCTGGCCTGCGTGTACTGTGTAGCCTCTACGTATACCAGGCACTGATCGCTGGAAAAATAGTAGAAATTGGACGAAATAAAGGGATAATGTACCAGAGAAGATCCCGGGCAAGAGAAGATCCAATTCGCGACCCGCGGGATCTTCTCTGGTATACTATCCCTTTATTTCAGCCAATTTCTACTATTTTTCCAGCGATCCGCGGTGCCTGGTAGAGGCTACGTGGCCTACTCTACAATGTAAGTCCTTTGATTTGGCTAGCTTTCCCAATGACACCATAAAATATGTTCTATTTTAAAGTAAAAGTAATTCCTAAGTAAGTTGTATTTTAAAGTAAAAAAAGTAACGTTAAAGTTGTTGAACTTACTTGGACGCAAACGTTCCCTCCGGTAGAAGCTTTTGTTTTGACCGTTTCCCTGATTTGCGTCGTCTTTTATACCGTAGCGTACGGCGTACACAACAGGAAGTAGGGGGGGGGAGTCCCCGGTGCGGACCGGAAGTGCGGATCGGAGTGCAAACCAAGAAACTGCCTGGACGGCGGATCACTGGTTACCCGTTATCATTCTTAGAAGTCAAGATCCGACGAACGTATTGACTTATTTAACGTATTGAACAAAATGACTAATAAACTGGAGGACGTACCGACCATTAAGTATCTAATACCAGCCCAGAAAAGAACAAGAAACAGTCATGCCTTCAACTAAGAACTTGAGGTGTTCAAAAACTCGTATTTCCCCAGAACTATCGTAGACTAGAACTCGTTGCCACCAAGCACAGTTGGCACAGTTGGGGCATCATCACTAGAAAGCTTTAAACAACTCCTGTAATTAAATGTGCAAAGATTGAGTGTAACAAGTCATTCGGTGTAATATAGCTAGCCGCCGCCGCGCCGCGTGCCTGCGAATTAAGCTGGTGTGTTTTAATAATACGCCGAAGGGTGGTTTTACCGGCTATACTGACACAGATATTCGTCATATCTGTGTATGATATAGCTCCATGGTCATATGAAATGTGTAGCTAGAATATTTTGAATTCCATTTTACACATGTATTTGCAATAGATCTACATGGTCAAGAAGCTTACCTCTACGGCCTTAGCATGTCTAGTACACGTACGAATCACGTACTATCAGTACAGTATATAAAAGTAAAAAGTTAGGATTTTTTCAAGGCCTACAACATGAGAGTGTTTTTGTGCACTTGGGTACGTATTCAATCAACATATATATGGTGTCGATTGTTCATGTTTTGTATTTATTATTTTACGTAATTATAACCTTGTTTGAGGTCCGGTCATTGACCCCTAATTTGCATGACAACACGTCAAGGTGAAAGTCCTTCCTGTTGCACTATGTTATTTCCGGTCATCTTCTGGACGCAATCCCCTGCATGGTACACTGACCCGACTTGAAAGAAACTGTCAATAAAAAAACTTGATGTAAGAAACCATCAATACTAAAATCTTGCAAGATTTCCAACCCAAGTTATCATTTGACGAAGGGTATTCCTTGCTATAAAAGAGAAAAAAAACTCTTCCCACAATGATAGAATTTCTGATTGTACATCTCTGTCTGAACACAATTCAAAAGAACATTTAAGTATAGGGCAGCAGCATTTTATAACTTGTTAAATGATGAAACTAAACAAGTAATCACATTGAATGCTTTCAAGAGAGCACTAAACACATGACCCCTGACCTCATGGACTGACTTATCTTTAACTGGAATGACACGAACTATGATTATGCCTTATGATTTTGACTATTTGTTTTGATTGACATGTCCTGTTTCTTATGATTGATTACTTGTACCCTTTGTTCATATTATTTATTACCTCTATGTTTGATTATTTGATTGTCTATATGTCCTTTGTAACTTGTTCTGTTGGGCTACCTTGGAAATCAGTTGTCCTAAACTGAAGGTACCATCCAACTGTTTGTAAGATCAATAAAGAACTAAATTAAAAAATATTAAAAACTACAGTGGTTTGGGATTGTTGAATATGATTTACTGCATAGAAAAGGACTTACATGACTCACATCTACAAGCTAGAATTACAAAAACAGTCAACTAGCTGATGCACTACAACAATATTGCACAATAAGGAACTAAGAACTGATATATTAAAGTACATTTACAAACATCCAAAACAATTTACAATATACATGTATGTTTATGTACATGACAACAGCTGCTTGTAGCTACAAGCTTGAATTCTAATGACATACTAGTAATGTATCAATGGCTTAGGATGTTATGTTCTATTAAGTCTTCAATGGCCCACCTTTTTTTGGAGGGAAAAGGGTATTTTTTTCATGGCTTCCTTTCACGGCATTTGTGGTAGCCATATTGGTATAGAATGCAGGGCTCGAAATACTGGGTGCGTGTGCGCCCAAAATTGGAGCTGTGCACCCAATTTTTTTTTTCTGTGGGTGCACCGGTGCACCCAAATATTTTTGTAGGTACATGTATTTTTGTACATAACAACTGTACAGGATATTATTTGGGTGTGGGATGCCTAAAACTAGTGCTGCATACCTAAACCCACATTTAGGTTCAGGTCCGGATTCAAGTCCAGAGGTTTAGGTTCAGTTCCAAACTTGTAAATCCCGACCTAAACCCATAGCATGTACAACATGGCATGTTGGCAACCTTGCAATGTTGTCTGGGTGAAACTTTGGCCACATACTAGTAACACGGAGGCCGGTACTTAATGATGCCCGATGGCAATGTTGTTTTTTTCATTTTGCAGCAAAGATTTTGCAATCTACGGAAGGTTCTAGGTGGTTTGGAAAGAAAAGGGGTATGTGAAATGGTCTTTTATGGTAATAAGTCCGGACTCGGTTCTTGACTTTTAGTTTTTTTGGACTTGAACCTAAACATTCTTACAAGTCCAGATCCAAGTCCAGTGAACCAGTATGCAGCACTAGTACTACCTAAAACCAATCATTTCCTCATCCAACTAAACAAAATCCTAGTACAGATAACAGATCTGATAAGTTCTGTCCCATGATAATGCAACACAGGTTTATAAACCACCACATCATACATGTACATTGTACATGTTCAGATTTGCTATGTTTATAGTAAATTATACAGATGACAGCCTCGTATGACCTTTTTCCTGCTGAAGGCTCATCATTGGTTCGTTTTTCTATTCCTTACAGCATTAGTTAGCATTAGTCAGCATGGAAATGGTTAAACTGTGCTTCAACGAGTTCAGTCTCATTATGACATCAAAAGATTAAATGTTACACCTTGAATTGTGGTACACTTTAAATGTTTATGTACAAGGTATGTCAGAAATCAAACTAACTTGTGTTGAAGGCATACCGAAAAAATCCACATACTGTACATAGTGTTGCATCATCTAATTTTATAACATCTATAAGAGATTCAATGTACATAATTTGTTATAACTAATATTCATACGTATACAGTCTTTTCAGAGTCCATATAGTTTAGTCATTTCTCAAACGCAGTAGGAAACTTCTGAAGATGTCGCCTGCCACGCAGAGTAGGAAGCCCCAGAGCGGCAGGAAGGCCAGGTAGAAGGGGATCGTGCGGAAGTACTGCAGCTTCAGGCACAGCGTCATCTGGAAGCCGAGTTTCAGCATCATCACCAGCAGATACCACAGTTTCTTCTTCATGGTAACATCGTCGCTATCGTAGCCGTTCCGGCAGTGTCTGATCATCCGTATGGCTAGCATGGCGAGGATGATGGCGTCGAAGGCCCACAGGGGCACGAAGATGATGAACCAGTTCCAGATCGTTCCCCCGTCAAGTCTTAGAACGAGAAGGATGAGGAAAAACAGCGTCATGAGCCATGTAAACAGTACTCGGTGAACCAGCGCCATCTTGGACGAACTGTCTTCTGTGTTTTCGGCTTGCGTACGACAGTATACCGCCGGTTATGGTTCTCAGCTCAACGTAGGTTCTGTCGTTTGACACCGATATTCCTTATACACCATTCTGGTACACGCAAGGTTGTCTCAACTCCCTGTGGTCGCTAGGAAAAACAGACAGAATCTCTCTCACAATCAGCCCGAACCAACACCACCATGTCTATCATCATCATCGTTTCTCTACGGACAAGCCCACTCTGAAAAAAAGGGGCGCAATTTGCTTCTGATAACTATATTTCCCTCCCTATCTCATTTCGTCACTCGCATTTGATAAAAAGACACTGTATTGTTCACTTTACTTTATTGTGCTATCAATTTTGATAATGGTGGCATGGCAGCTGAAAAGATAAATAAAACTGTTCCTTACACCCCTATTTTGCAAGTGGGCATTTCCCGTAAACTCCGTTTATTCCAGGGTTTCATCTAGCCTCTACCAGGCTTGAGGGCGCGGCTGGAAATAGTAGAAATTGGCCAAATAGAGAGATATAACACGCCGAGGGAGTTTAGCCATCCAGTTTACAGTTTGCCGGCCCCTCTGGCCAATTTCTACTATTTCCAGCCGCGCCCTCAAGCTAGGTTTTGTCATCCATTGAAGTCAACAGCAAGTATTCTCTGACATCCCCACAGACTCCAAACAAATGTGACATCACAAACCCTGTTAAACAAGAAATGATACCTAACGGGCCCGTTAACAAGCTGTGCTAACTTTACTGCCAACTACTAGTATTAACGTTACAACATCCATTTGTCACGGAAACAACTTTCAATAATGAAAGTTCTCAATTATACTACGGATGGTTTTGATTAAGTGGGAACATATAAAAGGAAGGAAATACATCACTGCATCAAAGTAAAAGTAAAAAAGAAATATGAGAGCATTGAATTGTCTCCTCTCTTCATATTTTATCTGCCACCCACGTTCCAGCTAGCCTGGGTACCAAGTAATATATCGCACGCTCTATACCAGTTATAGAGCGTGCGAATACTACGGGGGATGGTACCCAGGCTACGTTCCAGCATGGCAAGGCGTGCAATTTTACCCATTTTCTACTCTCCAAGCAGAGGTTTGGGTTTTGGGGGTATTTTTAGTGTGTTCTTAGGCTTTT